AAATCGTTCTCTCATTGCCTACAAAAAACGCCATGACTTCCGAGGATGTTAAAAGGAGCTTACAAGTATTGTTAATCTGATTCAACTTCTTATTAGAGTTAAAACATCTAAGAAGATTAATGCAGAAAGTGTTCTAATTAAATGGGTTAATACTAGTGATATATGTAGTAACTAATTCCATTACCATCAGAGAGCATTAGATCCAGAGGTAAGTGATTATTCCGTTTCGTTATTAATACACACACGTTTTATTTACAATATAATACAATAGTTACAAGCATTATTATTAGGCGCACGCATTCATCATTTTTAGGCTTAACACCTTCGTTCTTCCATCAAACTAAAATTAAGTTATAGAATATCAACAGAGACAAGACGCTCGGAGCGCCACCTAACGGCGCGAGCTATTAATTTATAACAATGTACAAGGAAAAATTAAACAATAAAGAGTAATTTAAACTGGATGTTACTTTATGGTATCCAAATAAAAAAAGATCCTAAAGTAATAATCTATGATACTGGAGGAGATCTCTCAAAAGCATGATTTAAGATCAGAATCTTGATTTCTAAGAGGGAGGATTGGAACTAAAATTATCAGTGAAGGTAATAAAGCATAAGATTTTTTCCGTGGCTTCTCTAATGTTCAATAAATTGTAAGCAGGCAATAAATACTACCAAATTAAGCCATCAAATTTGTTTTTCGTATTATATCTCAGTATGAAGAGATGTTCCAATTGTATCAGATTTAGTTACATTCAAGCCAACTGTTCGAATAAGAAAATATTTGCTAATATAGTGACCATGGCTCATAAGTACTGAGACTGTAAGCAGTCCCTGATATTCCCTGATTGAAGCGATACAAACAAAAAGTACAAATTAAAATTTTAAAAAATATGTAATAGGTAATAATCACATTTTTGAAAAAGTTGATTATTTACCTCAATTAGCACCATCTGTTATTTTATTTACTTTTAACATTTTTAAATAATGTTAATTCAAAAAACTGAATAATTTAAACGCTGAGAGATAAAATAGAAATAAAAAGCTAATAAACATAATTAGCTCAATAACAACGTTTCAGTAATTTAAAATATTGCTCAAAAGTAATTTGGAAGATGGTGAGTACAATTATTTTCCAAACTTTGCTAAATATTTACAAACATGTTCTTATAATTTTGATTCAAAGCAAAGGAAATAATTCTTGAAATTGGTACTGTTAAAAAAGACTTACAAAATAATTTAAGATTATATCATGACTAAAAATTTAAAAATTTAGCTTTACTTTTAATTTGTAACAAATTACGGTTTTCTTAGCGTGCGCTTCTTTATGTCGTATTGCTTATCATATCCAAATAGAAAATAGAAAAATCCGTTTCTCAGAATGAAATATTTTTGTGAAGCCATTGTTGGTTTATCATATTTCTTCTATAAAAAAAATCCTAGTACGAAATATATTTCATCTCAACCAAAATGCAGAATATAGAACACGTTCAAATGACTTCTACTCTAATTTAAAGATTGATACTTTGGAAGCGATGGAGCTGCCAGATTCTTCATTATTTAATTTATTTAAATGTAAGACAGGGCGATAATATATGGTAGCAACCATTTAAAAAGTTGTACAACCTTTTTAAGTTTTCGACGCAAAATGCGAAAACGAAATTAATAGTCCTTTAGGGCAAATTGCCCCTTTGGACTAAAAAGGCTGGAGACGGGATATTAGGAAATTTATGAAAGAAAAGCACCTAATTCTGAAAATGTAACCCAGAAAAATGTGATATGCATTGCCCCAATGCATTAGACAAAAACTTCTTTTTTCTATTTAAATATTTTAAATGCTTTAAAATGAAACATTCTTTAACAAGTGAAAGTTCTGATCAATGTTTAAATCCTTTCGGTTGTACTTCATCGTATAATCCGAGTTTTAAACAAATAGTCAAATCTGAACAGTATCAACTATCTCAATAAATTTCATTTTACTTATATTATTAATTATCATCTTTTCTTCAAAATATGTCTGATCTGTAAATCTAATGCATCATTTTCTATTTTTATAATAAAAATTAAATTTTTTATCATTGTTTTGTATCTTTAGCTTATTGTTTTATTTTCTTTAACATTATTTTTTTATTTACAGTTACTAATTTACAGCCCCTAATGTTTTTTTTGTAATGTTATTGTTTGTGAGTTAAATAGTGTACATTTTTCTTAACAATTAAATAGTTTATTATTGTTATACACTTTAAACTTTTCCACGCATCACTAGCCGGTGGCATGGGTATCAGAAAAAAAGTAGTTTATTTTGATGGTAGGAGATAGGCAAACCTGATGTAGATTTTTATACACAAATGTTAAAGTAATATGACAGACCTAAATGATGAATGCTGGAAATCGTATACGGCCCGTGAGTTCGAGGTGACTGCTGTACAGTATTTCTTGTAAAGCAATATAGGAAACATGTTTAAAAAATATTAATAATCCCAGTAATTTTGTTTTCACGGATCCCCTTTATGTTTCAGTAAGTCACATTTTATCAGCACAGACTAGATAATCGAATTGCATTTCAATTCTTTTCTGTTTACCTTACATATAACGTTAAACTGAAAAATGTTTGCTTTTAAAATCGATTTTTCTCAGAATGAAATATTTGGCTACCCCAACAATACCCAATGTTCTCTTCGAATGATTCTAAAATTAGGTTTTAATGTTTATCTATAAAATGAAATCACTGGGAAATCAGTTCAGTAATTATAGAAGGAAAAGATATTGTTATTCTTGTAAAGCTTCAAAAGCAAAATCTGGAAAAGAGATTGTTATTCTTGTAAAGCTTCAAAATCAATATCTAAGAACATATCTTTTCTTTTTAATGCGATCAGTTAGCTGAATCTCTTTTATTCTTTAGTGAAATGTTTTAGTAATCAGTAATTTCCAGTTTTTTACTTCCTATTACCCCCGCTAGGAACATCAAAACGAAGCCTTAAATAAGTATATGATTGGCAGCTTTCGGTTAAACTTCGGCGAAGCAATATAAACATTGCCAGTACAACCTGAATAAGTTACAGAATGTACTGCTAAGACCTAATAATAATGCCTCTAGTTGCGATTTGTAGAGTAAAATTGCTTAGTTAATTTCTTCTTATTTCTAATTGTCTTTAACTTTTTAAGTACTTTTTTGAAAATTCGTTTTTATTGCTATATCGTCTGCATACGGAGCAAACAAAATTTACAATTAATCATTTAACTTCAAGAATACGCAATATCTCAGTCACACTGAGGTTTTTTAATTAATATTATCTCTTAATAAAATTAATTTTTCATCACATAGAAGAAGATGTTTAAAATCATCTTAATAATCTATAGTTTCATGTCTCAACCGCCAGTTTTAGCAGTTATTTCCGTATTATTCACACACATTCAGTCTAACATCTATGTGTATTAATCTGAGATAGTAAAACTAAAATTTCCGAATTCATCTTATTGGCATTCATCCTATTCCAACAAAAGCAATTTTATATTCTGTGCCCTCTTTTGCACGTAATATGACCTGAACTGCATAAAAAAGAAAGAATAAGGGAAAGGGTATAAAAAGTATAAAAAAAGAATTACAAACTTCCCTGATTCTGAATTAATTATCAGTTGGTTTTTACGTGTGCTGTCTGAATGTACTGAGTTATTTATTATAATAAAACAGAGTAATTAATTAGGAACCGTAAAATACTGTCGAATGACTTTTCATTTCATTTTACGTTTTGTCTAAACTATAACAACCAAAATGGGAGGTAAATAAAAATAACATTTATTAACGTGTCGGCTTAACGGTTTCACATACTGAAAATTAACAGAAACAGAAATCCACCGATCTGCGCATAGAGTACGTTTTTCCAATTCTAGTTAAATTGAATGCAATATACAGTGTTAAGCCTGATTTAAAATTTGGGCTCCTCTGATTAATCGCTCGTGAAGAATCGCAGCAAGTAAGACTTCGCTGGCAAAGCAAATATTAACTGTAGAGTAACAGCCAGCCTAAGCTATCAAACACTCTGAGAAACTCTAAATTTGACATTTTAAAACTAAGTTTGGTAGAAAATGACTAAAGTAGAAATACAGAAAAGCCAAAATGATAAATGTGTAGAGTTTTCATTCTCATTGGAAGCTAAAGCTCTATAACTTTTAAGCACAGCTGCCAAAACTACTAACAGAAGGACGCAATTGCCAGAAGATCTAATCTAAAGATTTGAAACCCTTAGCTTAAGGCTAATTTGTAATCTGATAAGGAAATAACGGAAAGGAGACGTTACAATAAAGATCTAAACCATAATAACAGGTTAATATACTTTGCGACCGGTTAATTAAAATATAACCTTGCGAGAGAAGCTGATTCGTATTTAAGTAACAAACAAGGAAATATATGAAATCCACATGCAGCTAAACGATTGAATCATCAAAAATAGAACTGCCAATCTTCATTCGCAGCGATTTTAAGCCACTCAAATTCAGCTACGATTTCGAAAATCGCCAATTTGCATTATGTGCTTAACTTGTGGAACCCAGTGCAGACTCCTGGCAGCAGTATATAAAATTTAACTATCTGTAAAATACCTGAACAATATACACGCAGATTAGGATAAAATAACGCGCCGAACAAGTATTAATTTAGAATTCAAAGAACAAAAATCAGCGTTATATTTGCAAATTTTCACAGGACTAATTTCGATGGTTTTACCGAACCATCAGCCTCAGCTGCCAAAGCGCAGAAAGTATCTGTCAAAGTATTTTGAGCTTTGGTAGGTAAGTATGATGCTAGTCCTGTAAAAATTTGCAAATATAAGTGATTTTTGTTTGAATTCTAAATTAATATACATGATATTTAAAATATTATTTCTGAGTGAAATAAAGTTATATAATAATTTAAGCTTTGACTTATTCATAATATACCTATTCTAAAAGTCGCTGGTTGGAATTATTATTATTCAAATAAAATTATTATTGTTTTCCCATAGTGGAAAAGCCACCGACTATCCTGTTTCGGCATCAACTGGGACCCATAGCTCAAAGCAACGAGGGAAAACTAATAGTTTATCCTGGAACCATTCTTCATCTGGAATGCTTATGGATTCGGAAGTATGGGATTCCCCACTGGCAAGTCAGTCATTCCTATAGGAAGTATCCTGAAGGTAATTAGGAACTTTTCAATTAAAAACTTCATCAACGAAATTTATTATTTTAAACTTACCACTTGGTTGATAACAGGGCGTAATGTGATAATATTTTTACAGCTGTTTTAAATACTATGCATCAAAATAATCAAAAGTGCTGACCATTTTCGGATAAGCCTGTTCATTCATTGCAGTAGGGTCAGCATTTTTCAGATAAATTATTATAAGTGGTATTGAGTTAGTGAATACAAAGTTTCTGATAATTGCTTACCAAACGCATCACATTAACTTACAAATGAATCTCTTATTTAAAGGGAGAGGTAGATTTCCGTTTGTTTATGTAAGACTATGTTTCAGAAATATTATATTTTGCCTTAAATAATACATCTTATAGTCATAATTATTGTAACTATCATAATTATTTTGAAAAAAATTCATTCACTTAATTAATTAAACGTATTATTAATTACTTGCAATATTATAAATAGTGTATCTTTAATGACGAGTTGAATCCAGTAAGATGGAACGTACTTTTTGCACCTAGTGCAGAGTCTGTAGAAGAGAAGTAAGCGCGGGGGCCATCATTTGGCGAAACTGTAACAGAAAAGAAGAGCCATTTTTTTATATTATTACGAATTGTACAGAAGCGGTAAGATAGCTTCCCCGCAAAGCAGTTTTAGCGTTGCCATAAAATAGCAAGGAAGGCAGGGTTGCCACATTTGGTGAGAAATCTACCATTTGGTGACATTTGGCGATATGCCATGGACGGATGGAGAACTTTCTGGAACGAATTCTTACCAGTTTAGCCCAGAATGTTCTCGAACACAAGCCGAAAGCTATATAAACCTTGCTGGTAAGCAGTCGGTTAGTGTGTGCCTCGTCTAGAGTGCGAGATAGTTAGTCAGTCCGTGAAGAGTCGATCCTGTTAACAGCCGAGCAGCGAGTGCATCGTCGAGAGAGTGTGTTAAGCTCCGAGAACGACTGAACCGAAGAGTCGGGAGCTGTGCTCAGTGTGTCGTCGAGTGCATCGCGAGTTGTAGCTTGGCGAGTCTTGAGATTACGTGGAGTTGCGAGAACGACCGAGCAGAGTCGGGAGCTGTATTCTGGTGCTTTGCAGTGAAGCTGTCTCCACCTTTATTGCCTGACATGTGAAGTCTGTGTCGCTGATTGTTCCAACGTGTTTATAAGTAGATCTTCGACGACTGTAAAAGTGTTTTGGACCTTTCCTGATTAATATCGGCTAATAAAGTGTGTGTTTCGATACTTCATCAAGAAGTATTATCATTATTCACTCCAAATCCACACGAACCCCGTAAGAACGTGAAGGAAGAAAATAACGTAGCAACTGGTGTCAGAAGAAAAACGTAACAATATTATAACTCAGAATGCACAAAATTTATATCATTTGAAAAATTATCTAATCGTTGCCACATGTTCTATTCAAATACTATATCAAATCTAGAACGATGCATAAACGAATTTAAGCAAACAAAAGAAAAAAAAGAAACAGTTTTTCACAGACAATTGAATTTCTCATTCAATTAATTCAGTTCTCACTCCGCGAAAAGGCAAAAATACATAAAAATTCAAAACATCTATATTAAAAATTACGAAGCAAATCTTAAACACTTATTTCCTTCAATAAATTCCAAAATGGATTAAGCATGATTTAATTCACAATAATAAAAAGAAGGCGTTATCTTTGTTGTTGCGAAGCTTAGTTTCTCTAGATTGGCAACAAATCCGTTATTCTGCCAAGTTTCAAATGTAAATAAACATGGCTGCCATCGCAAAAATAATTAGGCTTAGCTGCACTTACACAACTTTTAAATTGTTCATAATTCTAAAAATATTACATGCAGATTTACTAAAGACATAAAGACCTTAACCGGAAGATAGAACAACATATTTTAATCATTTATAAAGCAAAAAAAGGGCACAATTTACAAACATATAAGAGTAAAGAAACTGATATCACTGAGCCGGGTAACAGACTGGATATATATATATATATTTATATACGTTTGTTGCGCCGATTGCAACCAAAATCGGAGGTGCACATATACATCTTATAGCAGTCCTATATACAAAATTTTAACGTTCTGAGGCTATTCGTTTTATGAGTTATGCGAGATACGTACGTACAGATGCCACGAAAAATTCCTTCAGATTTCATTTTAAAGCAGTTTAATAATTTTTTTGGAGGGAAAGAATCTTTTTATTCTGTCTTTACTTACAGATGTCACGCAAAAACATCGTTAAATTGCATTCGATGGCGGTCAGAATGGATATTTTTCGTTGAAATATGCTGCCTGAAACTTTTCACGATTACAATAGTATAAAATTTCAAAGTTCTATGGCGACTCGTTTTTGAGCTATGCGACCTACAGATGTCACGAAAATTTCTCTTCTGAATCCATTTTAAATCCATTTTATGATCCGTTTCGGACCAAAAAAAGTCCTTTATTCTGTCCGTACGTAAAGATGTCACGCAAAAACTAAATTCAAATAGATTCGAGAATGATGAAAACGGATGTTCTCGTTGAAATATGGTACCCAAAAGTTTTCGCAAAACCCAAAACATTGTCTCTAAAGACAAATAGTTAATTAAGTAATATGTGGGGCAATTTCATTTAACATGTTCTAAGTTCTTCGGTATTATTCGATTTTTAAATGCATTGTAAAATTCTAGCAAATTAATTAATTTTATTTGAAGACGAAACAAGTACTCTTTAAAAAGGCGTAGAAGTCCTATGTTAGTTTCGAATCTGAACGATTTTGAGTGTTAAAATATATAAGTCGCATTAAAAAAGGTAGTTTGATAGTGTTAAAAAATTTAAATAATAATATTACGTTTTAGGAAATGGAAAATAACTTCAGACAATAACTAAGCAATGAAAAACTTCTTAGAAATGAATCACATCTGTAGATTAACCGGAGTAAAAGGTGTAACAGCAGAACTTTAGAACTAGCATTGTTAAGCGAAATAAAATAAGAAAGACTTTTAATAAAAAAGTTGAAATAAACATTAATTCACAAAATTTAAAAACATGAAATTTACTCACATTAAAACATGTACTAATATTGCATAATTATTTAAGCTATAATTTAAAGGTAACATCAAAAATTCAAAGAATATAACAGACAAAATTAATGTTGGTTGTGAATCAGCGCTCTACCAGTCTTAAAAAGGAGTAACCAACTTTGAGAAATTTCCAACATAGAAAAATAGGTAAAATGTTCATAATAGTAATTTAGTTTGATTAAATAAAATTAAAGAGTGCAATGGCTGATCTACTTTCCAGAAAGTTGCATACGATTACAAATGGTTATGATACAAATACAAATGGCTCTGGGTATACAAATGGCTATGATTTCAAAAAACATCTTTCTTTTAACTGTCAATAATAAGGTGGCATAATAGTTACAGTCTCAGAATTTAATTTTTATTGAAATGAGAATGGAATGGAATTTTTATAGAATGGATTAGGATTTTCAAATAACAGAGTTCAGGGAATATGGTTAAAGTTTAGATGTTCCTTTGAAATTCTGCCTGTCATCCAAACTGTTTAGACTTGTACCAAGATTGACAGAAAGGGAGAGAGAGAGAGGTTTATTGGTCTAAGAGAGGATGATTTATTGCATAGAGATGCAGCACGTCGCGTTCATTGAAATCAAGCGTTATTCAGAGTATGTGTTTGCAATCTGTTCAGTCAGACATCATTTCACACTGACAATGGGCTGGCGAATCATGATCTACTACAAGAAGAAAAGACCTCCAGTATATAAAATTAGGTAGTATGTCTACCACCACAGCTTCTCTGAGAGCTGTGGCCCCAGAGCACGTGAAGGCCTTATTTCGGGTTTTAAAAAATGTAACAGGAAGGGCAAAATTAAAATAAATAAATGTTCATACAAGAGTTATATAAAATGTATTTACGGAGTACAGTTTGAGATTCCATAAAAGTGTTAAAATCTTTCCACATGATTGTGTCTGCTATTATACCAAATTTTCTTAAAAGGAAACTTACAATTAAAAAATTACTTCTTTAATTAATACATGTTTCTGTTTCATTTGTGATTCATGAAATTCAAGTTTGCCGTGAAATAAATAACAATTTATATTGAAAAACCAGTTTTTACATTTCAGAAATCTTAAGCATACGTAAGTTTACATTTTACAAATATAAAATTAATTTTATAGATAAAGAGGTGCACCATTTAAAAGTTATTTTATGTACGCATGATTTTATCAGCAAAGCTCGTAGTGCAGGGATATCCAAAATCCGCGTTATGATATCAAACTGAAAATAAGTCTGATACTGTGACTACTTAAAGCAACTTTAAGTGTCATGTTACAGCATTAACTAAGCACTTGTGTTGCAACATCAATTCCAGCATTTGCGAAATTAGCTGACTGAATATATTTGAGGTATTAACTCACTTGTTTAATACTTCTAAATATGCTCTTATTCATTAAAAATGTATTTTAAAAAAATGTATATATAAAGTAAAACTCAGAACAAAATATAAAATCCTTTAACAAACTTTTTTTCAAAATAAGACTTCTTTATTTTTATAACTATTACCGTTAAGTTAAATGCCACTGCCTTTTCCAATAGCAAGTCTATATGCTGCTCTTGAGAATTTATTCTTCGTATAAAATACTATAATATTGAAATGATAAAATTTTCAGGAACAATATCAAAATTTCTTAGTTTAACAGGATTAACATGTACACTTTTTTTCTCAAAAATTTATAGAAAAATGACTTCAGTTGCTTAGTAATCATAAGAAGATATTTCAAAAATTGTTTTATTTCAGAAATTAAGCGAAAAATATTAATAGTAATTGCGACTAGCAGCATATTAAGTAATTAATAGTATTGCACTTATTTTAATTTTATCAATTAACAGCACTGTTATTAATTTAATTTTTATTATATATTTAATAAAAAGGGATGAATATCTGGTAAAAATCCTCATTAGAGATACTGCATTATATATTATATATTCAGCAATGAGACTTTATATATTCACTATACATTAAATATCAACTAATAAACCTGGTAAATAATTAAATCTTGAAGTATGACTAATAAACGAAGAAAATTGGATGAAAATTTAAGGCTGATCAAACCGAATAACGATAGACTTCGTGTTACAACGAACACTCATTAGAAAAGTCAATTAATTAAGAATTAATTAGTGTATTTAAAATGAAAATAGTTAATTAATTTATAGTACAGCATTCAAAATTTATATATTTAAGAGCAGGGATCCTATACGAAGGATTTCTCAGGGATATTATCTTCTATTTACATTACATGACGGATGTAAATACAAGATAATATCCCAACAAACCAATACGCCAGCTGAAATCGAATTATATATGCTTTACGACATTCACTACTGTACCATTAACGCAATAAACAGTTATTTTATGAAACTTTTACCACTTTTAAATTGATCAAATGAAGAGTTTTGTGTCACTTTATTTCGAAAAGGAACAGCTCTTACAGATAGAGTTTGGTTTAGAAAACCGTCGTACTCTCGGATCCAGCAAAAAAATTTTATAGTAACTAATGTTGCTGTTTACTCTCTCTGATTCCTTTCCAAGCATTGAAAATTTATTCTTTCTAAGAACGCCAGCTAAATCTTCCTTAAACTCGCCAGCCTCTTAAAGGGTTGCAGAACCAGTTACATGCATTGGGTCACATTCATAAGCCCACGGAACATTTTTAAAATTCATAAAGAATATGTACCCCAACCAGCACCATATTTTACTATGCTGAAATGAAGGTAAAGTCAAGTAATATATAGAAGCCCTCAGTGTGTTTACTCTTGCTTGTACAGCAGACATCTGTGAGTCATTGAGAGGATTTATTTGGGCATATTAGAAAGATTGCCTATGCTAGCTGAATAATAACAGTGATAATATCTAACAGTAGTGATAATGTTTTAACAAGGTAGTTATCTGATTCATTACAAAAAAAGCATTGTCAAGCATCTTCATTGAAATCTGCCACAAATTCTCTTAGTAAGAATATCTCATCAAGTATTTCTCATTAAGGTGGACAGGATACATAGGATTAGAAGATGATGGTTTAATACAGTAACCGCATTTGGCTTCGGATTTAATGTTTTTTTCCCCTTGTGTAATTTTTTCAATAATTTGACCTTTATGCCTCAGTTTTCGGGTAATCTTCAAGGTTCCAGCAGCATTATCAAAGATGTTGTGCTTCCTGTTAGCATGCTATATTGTTTCGCTTGTGGGATGAAATGAATTTACAAATTGCTTCGCGGAATGGCAAATGACTCTGTTTTCTGACATTCCTTTTTTTATTTACCAAGGTACCATGGTAAAAGAAACCAATATTATAAATTTATTTAGAGTCTAAATTTAACAGCGTTCTTTTTTTTAATCTGAATGAGTAGCACACTGCATAGTTATACGCAGGCAGATGCAACGCAGTTTATGTAGCATTTTTGTACGGTATTAATGTAAGCAGAGTTGGTACAATATTACTGTCTTAGCTTTAATGATTAGTTATTTAATATGCCGCAAAAATGTTTTGCAGGATGGACTAACGAAGTTGGTCGAGATCCTCAACTAGAATACCGACTTTCTATTTATCACGCTCAGAAAGACGATTCTGGGCGCTTTACGTGTATCACTCCTATGGGGCACAGACACTCTGTAGATATTGTTGTGGCTGGTAAGTTCAAAATTTTAAAGAGATTTAACAATCTTTTAATTACTTGCATGTGGAATTACAGTTAAATTTTAAGATGGAAAAATAATTTTCAAGAAAACTGATTCTCTCTTAATTATTCTCTCAAGAAAAGTGAATAAATTTTTTTTAATAAAATTTTACAAACTTAATAAGAATTACGACTCTGAGCAATATAAAATCGTTCAGTTTTAATATTCAGCTAATTTAGTTTGGTAAATTGTATTATAATAATGAACAAAATTTCATAAATAACTGCATCTGATAACATGAAATTTGGTAATCTAAAAAACGAGCCATGTTATAATGTAATTCATACTATCAATGTAAAATTAATTAGTGCGTTAGTATACATTTTCATCAAAGAAAAACTATCAAGTTTTATCGGAACACACTCCTGTTTCCATTTAACATTCAAATTATTTTCTGTAAAATGTAATATCAAAATTTATAGTTTCCAAGAAAACAAGAGTAAAGAATTTGAAAAATAAGCATTTGAATACTTAGAACGAGTATAAAAAGACATCAGTAATTTTTTTTTTCTGCTAGCTTAAAGTATTCACTTTCTCTCCGTAGCGGTTCACTGTCCTCAGATACCACCGACTGCTGGTCTTCAAGTGAGCAACCCCAGCACAAAGTTAGATACCAAAGTCGTATTCTCTTGTCGTGAAGGTCAAACACTTCTCGGAAGTGAACAAGCAACGTGTCTGCCATCTGGCAATTGGTCTGCTGAGCCGCCTTTGTGTCAGGGTAAGTTAAGAAATTTTAAAAAAATCTCTATCTTAAAACAGTAATTCCAAATCTGTATCTAAACGTATTTATGGTTCATTATTAAGAATTCCATAGTTCAGTAATCAAACGTTTTACGCAGTCAACTAATCGCCTCAAACTTAGTATTATTCCGTGTATGTTCAAGTCCCTAGAGTGAAACAGTACGTGCACTTGGCACATAATCTATTCTCATCCTCCTATGTATTATTAATAACAACTAGGTTCGTACAGTCATAAAAGTTAATCTAATTTTATTTTTTGAAAATAATACTTTTTCAGCCTTCCTAGGCTACGGTCGACTTATCGTCCTTTCCTTAAGCTTATATAAGCCCAAAATACAAACAACAAGGTCCACAACAAGAGCAAATTCCAACTAATTTGCACTTGTACAAATCGTATGTTCAAACTAAAAGCTTAGGAAACTTAAAATCAGCGTTCTGTATATAGTCTCTGGAATTACAATAAGTGTAGATAAGAATAAAAAATATAGTAATTTTATGAAATAGTAACTCGGCTTCTAAACAGAAAGCACAATATCTAAGCATAAAATACTAGAAAAAAAAACAAAAAGACACTTAACGAAACCAAAGGGTATTAAAGGTGGCAAAAATACTAGGAAACTGCGTGGCTAGTACCATTGTCAAAACTCTCTTTTTAATAAAATAGCTCTCGCTCGCTATTTAAAACTATTTAATTTACATTTATGATGGAGCTGATGGAAGAAAATAGAAGTACATTAGAGATTTATTTAAAAAAATAATGTATTAATTAAAATATATCTTACATAGTGTCACAACATCAAGTACGATGTAAACTCTGTGTAAGATAGCACATTAATTACGGTGTACTGTTTAAAGAAAAAGGATAAAAATAGTCCACATTACGAATACACTGATGACAGAAGAAGGTACTACAAGCGTACCAAAGCAGAGTGCAATATGTACTTAAATAAATAATTTTCTACCACTACTAATGGAATAGTTCTTGCATGAAGGACGATACTTCAATAAATGTAAAATGTGCGATAAATAGTTTACAAAACTTCTATCAGACATTTCCAGTTTTTTGATACAAATAAGTAATGCTTTTATTCTATCCATATAGAATGTAATGATCAAAGAACAAGGATACTATATGGAAGTCATAGAAGCATTTAGCTGTATACAGCTACACCCGTATATATTTTTCAATATATGTCAATATGATTATTCTTAATTTCTTTTTAGTGGTTCTCCTAAATTGTAAATATGTTTTGTACATATATATCCTGTCCATAAAAGTTCTTGTGTGACCCTTATTCTCACAACTCTAGATCATGGACATATATTTTCAGTGCTAAAGATTTTTTAAAAGACACATATTTCCATTCGTATTTTGTCATTTTTCAATTAAAAAAACATCAGTGTCATAAAAATTACGAAATCTAATTTTTTCGGTGGCCTCTTGCCTCTATAGTTATCATTAGTAAGTCTACACTTATAAAAAGCACAAAAAAAATTATTCATGTAAGAAAAGAAATGGCCGAGTTATTTAATATTAAAATTAGGAATTTTTGCCACATTTTTACCTTGCCTTGAAGGATCAGTTAAAAAATAAATTAGAATAATTCGAGTTTGGTTTTTTCCCTTTAATGTCATTCCGTGATACTCTTTTATTAGCGTCTAACATTCTTTAATTTGTAATTTTGTATCATTTTCAGAAGGAATTTAGGCCCGTAAGTTTTCAAGTGCTAAAAATGTACGTTATTAATATTCTTGTGCAGTTTTATTACTTTAGAACCATAATATAATAATAACTTTAAGAATAACTAAAAGGAAAATATTTTTCATTTTTAATTTATGGAAATAAGATTGAGATTGCGCTACTGAAACATGCCAATGCTTTCTATAACAGAAAGTCTGCAAGATTCCATGGTTCTTTTTCGAAAACATTTATATTAATCTGTATTTTTCATTACAATCTGTATAGCAATGTTCGTTAATTATTCTATTAACATGAAAAACGTTTTCTAAACTACTTCATTTTTTTGTACAAATGCGAACATATTGCTCCTCTTCAATTTGTGTCTGACCACTGAACATGACTCAGACTTCATATTTAACACGTTGACGACGGCCTGACCAACCGGTGGGTCATACATGTCTGTTCCGTGAGGCGGCATGACCCACCAGAGGATCATGCTTGATTGTTCCGCGGGCCGGCATGACCCACCGATGGGTCGCACGCTTGTATATCAAAAAATATGTAGTACAAAATTTTATTTTATTTTAATTATTCAACAGTATACATTAACATTTTAACATTATAATCAATGATTCAGTAGAACACAAATAACTTAAAATGTAACTTATCAATTAAATATAATTAAATATAATTATTAATTTTTTCTATGCAGTTTTCTAAATCAGGCTAAATAAAGTGCCGGCTTGTCCTTACAATTATCGCGATATATTGTTACTTTCTTTGCTCTATTCGTGGTCTTGTTTCAAAGCTCTATCCGCCCCACGAAACGGACCGCTAATTCAAGCACCGCCACCCGAAAAGAACAATGAATATCCGCGCCGCCGTCAACGTGTTAATTATACTCAGCTCTTCAAATCAAAGATTTGAATATATGTCACATAGTATATAGCATAAAATAATCACATATTACTGAAATTAAATTTTAACAAATTCCAGTTACAGAAAGCGTTTATTTTTAGAATGGTTTCAGGGATGTTTAATTAATATTTAAAATGTAACGATTATTTTTTAAATCTTCGATCTGATAGCCTTTTTTTCTTGACTATGAGTCTACATCGTGATTTCCATGGTAAAAGAGCTTTTCGTAAAATTTTCATGGGTATTGATTTTAATTCCTGTTTCAGTATCCATCAATCGTGATGAGTTTGCGCTTAGGATGAGCACTTTTCAAGAGATCAAAGGTACAATAGCCTATAGGGGAAACATCAAAGAACTTTCGAGGAATACGTTGAAAAGGTAGTATATACAGGGTGTCCCATAAGTCTATAAATAATTTTTAAATTCATAAAAATTGTAGGAATTAGTAGAAATGAATGCAGTTTGAAAAAAAAAGTTATTCTCGTGAAGGGATATATTTTTTTGGGGGGAGGGGGGTAAAGAAAAAAAATTTCGTTGATAGAGGTCGCCCGCCACACAGACGCAGTAACAAAAAACATGTAAATCAGAGTCCTACAAATTGCAGATTTTACAATTAATAGTTCGTTTCTGATTCTTCTTCCTACTTGCTCGTACAAAAAGTTTTAATTTCGATGATGACATTAGTGGATACAGCGTTATTAGTGAAGTTGTTTTACCTCAGCCAAGAATCGCCAACTGAAGCTTTATGAAGGTTTCGGACACTGAAGTGATGGAAGAAAGGTTCAGGTCCAGTCACTCCTTACCTGACTGACTTTCCTGGTACGACATTTTGAAGAAACAGGAAGTTTGTGTACCGCCTTCGTAGTGGTGCACCAAGTTTATCAGAGGTCCGTAGCTCCGATGTGGCTTCGCAGATTGACATTCAACAAGTAGCACACGAGAAGTGACATGGAACACTGGTTACCTAAGATATCTGTATTCCGTATCCTTCACAGTGTTTTAAAATTGTACCCCTACAAGTTGCAGTTAGTCCATCGGCTTTTATTAAATGAGCTAAGCGGTATGAATTCGCAAATTGGGCTTTGTCGGAAATCGATGATGATCTACAATGGCTTCTCAATATCTTGTGAACAGATGAGGCTCATTTTTCATTGATAGAACTGTTAACATCCATGACTCTAGAATCTGGGCAAAGGAGAAACCAGTGCCTATACTGAGGAGATCCTGCATTCACTGCGTTTAACCGCTTGGTGTGGTTTCACTGGATCCAATATTGTGAGACTTTTTTTAAGAGCGCTGCACAAATGCTGACTGGAGGATCTGCTCTGTTACTGGAAAATGCTACTTGTAACTGCTGCAAGAAAAAGTGATACCGCACTTACTGGAAGTCCTTAAAACAGTGACGTTCATGCAAGACAGAGTAACCCCTCATATCGCAACCGAAGTGAAAACGTTCATAAGATTTTTCACCGAAGAGCGATTAATTAACTGTAATTTTAGAAATGAGTGCCCCCTCTCTCTCGCCGAACATAACACCACTTGATTTCTGACTTTGGGGGTTATTTCAAGTTCAGATTGTATCGCAATATCCCATCTTCTTTGTTTCAGTTAAAAGACGCCATTCGTCTCGAAATCTCTTGCATGCGTTCAGATATGTTACATGCTGTAGTTAACGGTGGTGTAACTCGTTTGCAAACTGTAATTTGTGATGATAGCGGACGTACATAATAAGAGCGATATGATTGTAAACATTTGCCCGCATGCAAATAAATATAGTTTTTCTAGAAATGTGCGATTTGTTCTCGTACAGCGCCCTCTATCGATATAATTTTTGACTATATTTTTCTTTACCAAAAAAAAAATCCCCCCTTAACGAGAAAAACTTTTCCGCGAACCCCCTTCCATTCTACAAATTCCTTCCAGTTTTCTGAATTTTTAAAATATATACAGACTTATGGGACACCCTGTATACAATACCTGTACCAATTCTTTTTTTCATCTTCAAGGAATGCATTGGTACTTTTTAAACTATGACTTGTTGCTCTGCCTTGACGTGAATTATGAATTAATGACGTGTTTACTCATTGAAGGTCATTGGGATAAAGAATAGGAAATTCTGCTGTAAATATCGGACATAAAACTTTCTCTTGATTGTACGTTGAGTTGATTTTAACATTTTTCCCACTGTTTTTGTTTTTAATTTCCGGTTGTAAGAGAATTCTGAGACAGTTATAAATTCCTTACTGAAACTTTTCTTTGCATTCACGGAACTAGGTTTGCATACCCTTTTTTCTTCCTTTTCAATAATAAATAGACTTTTTTTTGTTGTTGTTGCAGTCTTTATGTGAACGCGTGGCTCATAATGTATTTATCTCTCACTAAATAGTCTTCATGAAGGGCTCTACAAATTGTTATGCGTTGAGGCACATGCTCAGCAAAAGATGGTGAACATTATTTTTTTTAGCTTTTTTAAGTTGTAAATTTTAGGTTGTTATTTCATTTGTTGTTGCTACAGATGTATTTAACGACTTGGCAATTGATTTCTGCGTCAGTGGATTTCTCTCGTTACTAACAATTTAGAAATAGCACATAGCTTTTTCGAGTATTCGTTTGGAGCCTTCTTTCCATGTAGAAATAATGATTGACAGTTTTTTCCTTTCCGATTAATAATGTTTCTTATTTTGCACTTAGGAATTTTAACACCATGCATTTGACAATGTTTTTGAGTTATAGAATACCAATATTTCTCTTCGGAAAGTGCAAAATCATATCCTTCAATCCACAGCTAGTTTGCATGCGACTATTTTGAAAGAAGAAAAAATTTAAAAGCAGCAGCCGATACTTCTCATTTCAAATAATAAGCTGTAGCCAGAAATTTTTATTCCAAAACACTTGCTTTCTTACAGTTATTAAAGTTATTTATCGAAATTATTCTAAAAATGTGTAAGCACCTACTTTAAATTTAATAGTGTTTTAAATTCAATTTTCCATGCAACTTAATCAGTTTCTCAGCGTATGAAAGCACCTTTAAGAACACTTCTGCAGAATAATATCCTTTCCACTACTGAGATCATTAGAACACTCTCGCTGAAGATTCCAGTAATAATTTGCCATCATGTACCAAATGATAGGAGTTTTCCATAATTTTTATATCTTGCAGGAAAACTTCTGCCTTTGCTCTTCATAAAAGCTATCTAAATGACTATACAGGTAATGAACTCTAATATAGATATTATAGTCAAATTCATAGAAACGGCAGAAGTCTCCCATATGACAGAAAAGAAAGTTTGACCTGCTAGTCTCCGATTTAAATTTGGCAAAAAAATTTTTGAAACAACTGCAACGAACACTGTAGTCAAACATCTTTGAAAATTGAGCAGTATTTCTAAGAACAAAAATAGTTATCGATATTAAATACCACAGGCTGCCATGTTCTCTTAGACAATCAGCTGTACAGGGAATAAAAATCACTTATTTTCTTTCTTTTGAACTTAATTAATTATTTAAAAATTCATTAAATTAAAAATATTTTAATTTAAACAATTTATTGTATGTAGTGTATTTTCTTTATTTGCACTGCTTAAGTTGAAAGATTTTTATATAAATGGGCCGTCAGGGTTCATAACTATATGTCTCATCTACTGAAATCCTTTTTAAATTGCAAAGCCATCTCTTTCATTTCATTCAGACTTAAAGTGCTCTGATTTTCATTATCTGTTACATTTTCAATATTTTCTGGTTGTTTCTGTAAAATTAATAATGCCTACTACAATGAACAACGTAGTTTTTTTCTTAGTTCTTTATTTTCATTTTGCTGTACCTCACGTGAATCCAACCCGTAAGTAACCTAACTAAGTAACCAATAACTTAACTTAATCTAACGAGTAATGCTGGTTCGTTTTCATTCTGCTTTAAACAAATCTTGATATAAATTATCGATTTTGTCATATATATTAAAATTAATCTCAGTCTTATGTTTCGTATTTTATGAGCTCGAAAGTTAACATTTAATCACAAAATGTGAAAACTAAAGGAAAGTAAAATTTATATCGATTAATCATTCTTGGGAAGAATTTATAAATCACACTAATATATATCACTGATTTCATTATCTAGTGACAGAGTGTCCCGATTTAACGAATGACACTTCTGAGTTGCTGATAGCAGAAGTATCTGGTCGCACTGTCGGTTCAAAAGCCACTTTCTCTTGCCCTACCGGATATGGTCTGAGGGGTGACGATACATTGCAATGCCTTGACACTGGACAGTGGTCTGCAGCTGTGCCATACTGTGAAGGTAAGTAATAATTCATTTTTCTAATCATGGAATAAAGAAGTATTCTCGTAGAAGAATAAAAGTAATGCTTTGCTTTTATAAAAAATAACGCATATACTGAAAAAAATCAAGAATGTAACTGGTAATTTTATTAATAGCGTTCTCGTATAATTCATATCATATAGTTCCCCTTAGAAGGTCCTCCACAAAGGCATCCTTCCTCTTAGACAGATAGATAGCCTTCGCTTGCTTTGCCATAGCCAAATAAACCAAATGTTCCCAAAAATTTGCAAATTTCTGCGTCCATTCTTCCAAATTTGAGAAAATGAGTGTAAAGGTGTACTTCAAATTCTAATTTCAAGCAACATAAGAGCCGGTAGTGTAACTATCACGTTGGGAATATAGAACATGTCGTTGAGAAGGCATTTGGCGGATTGCGAGTTGCGTGCAATTGGGAGAATGTAAATAAAACAGACACTGATAAAAAGTCTGTAAAAACCTAAAAGTAGTCGAAGACGTCATGCTAAGAAATTGGAAACGGTTTAAAACACTAGCGACGTATGCAAATAACCAAGTCAAGGTCGAAAACGAGCCACAACAAACTCTCAGCACATTTATTTGACAACGACTGTTAAAACAGATTGCTATCGCAGGAACTCCTGGACAATTTATAATACATAGCAAACAAAATCGCTGCAAAGCTAGAATTTCCGTTAGAAGTTACCTCACACCTTAATAATTTTCCTATATGTACCTTTAAAATGTCCTAACGCAAATTTTTCTATGCCCTACTTTATATCACATTCCCTACGTTTAAATTTACTTATTGCAGAAACAGGCAATTTTGAAGTGTGAAGATACGTCGGGCACAATTTAAACAAACAAACAAAACAATTGAGCAAGTTCCATATTATTAGATGCAAAATCATTCAAGTTATATGAGTTTTTATAGTTATTCCTTTAAGTTATCCCACCAGTGTATTTATTTTCGGAAATGACGAGGAAAATTATATAAATGAATTTTCTTGAAAAATTAAAAATATAAAATTCGACGTCACTTCTAACAAATAGCAAGCAGTAACATTAAATGCATGAGAGGCGATCAAAATGTTCGCATAACGGGATATAAAAAGCATGCTAGCTGAACAAAATATTTTTTACTTGTAATATAATTCCTTCCAGTGACAATACATTTCTTATAGCGGTTCTATAGTGATTCCCTGCAGGAAAAATTCGCCCTCATGCTTTAAAAACTAGTCATTGTAAGCATTCGTAGCCTTATAGTCATATGCAGAACGTATCTCGCAAAGATCCTTCTTCAACAGGAAAAAAATCATATTGAAGCAAATATCGAGAATGAGGTAATACTTAAAAGCCTGCAGCTTTTATAGCAGCCATTGACGAAGCACAGGTACGTGATATGCATTGCGATAATCAAAAATTTCCTTCAGCTTTAACCTTCGTCAACGATTAATTTCTTCGCAAACTTTTCCTATTATTTGTTTATTATAGTCCTATGTGATCGTTTCTTCGCGTTGAAGGTTCAATAACCAGCTGCCTTTAGGATCCCAAACAATACGGATCATAATTTTGGATCATGACGTTGATACACAAAATTTCTTGTTAACAAAAGAAATCTTTTCCAGATCTTGCCATTTTGTTTCATCTCGGGATGTTATCATGAATAAAAACAAGAGTGTACCCTTGTTTTATTTACATTAACATATTAAATAAAACTTCTTCTATATCCCACTGAACCATTGCCAAAAGTGACTCCAAAATACTTACACAAGTTTTCTGTGGTTCGAATAGCATTTTGGCTAGACATTGAGATGTTTGCCATCATGAGATATTTTCTTAACATTAATTCTATGCTATTAAATGAAACAATGCTAGTCTTAACTGTTGAACATCTCTCTCTATGCACGTCATATATATATATATATATATATACGATTGAATATTCCCCGTTTTCACTCTAATCTAAGAACTCCAGGAATGTTCGAACGATTATACAAATTTTGCCATTTATTTCAAAGAAATGTAAAGAATCAAATTCTTTTTTCTATCATAAATTAATCATCAAATATGAAATTGAGTTGGCTGGTTTAATATTAAATAAATAAAGTTGCATTGCATAAAATTGCATAATACATGTATAATTTTAACGAATATAGAATTAAATTAAAATAATTAAAATATTCTGAATGTGTAAAGCATCAGCTTTCAAAAACAGAGATAAAAGTATTTTGGGTAAATTAATGACAGTAAAATACAGAAAAAAAGCAGGACAAAAACTAAAATATATATTTAGATAATATAAAAAGCAGATGATTAGAGCTAACTAATTAACAAAGTGGATTGCTTGATTGTAGGAAAAACATTTACACTGTATGTCCATGAGTAGATGTCTTCGTGAAGGACTTAAAAAAACGTTCCTGTATTCACATTGCGTCTGATAAAAATTCCAAAATTCTCATGCATCAAACTCGTTCAACCGCCAGGATAAATAGCAGGGGCGAAATACTAATGTTTCACGATTTTAGCTTCTTGTTAGCAAGAGCTAATTTATGAGCTTTTAAAACCTATAAGGAATTGTTTCAGTGGGTCTGGGTCAACCTTTAAATCAAATCAAATCAAACCAATAATGCGCCGAGGTATAATATGTATTTTAATATTCATTTTCTGAATTGCTTTGTTGATTGTTTCTCCGAGAACTTAAGAACTGTAAAGGAATAGTATGAAGAATTTTTCCGTCAAGTTATATACGCAGTAAAGGAAAATGGAACTCAAAAATGCAAGTCAACTATTGCTAAATTCTAGAAAGAGATAAAGTAGAAACAAAATACTGAAGAAAATAGAGTTACATTCTAAAACAGAAGGTGAAATAGACGTTTAAAGCAATTATTACGAATTAACATGGCTTTTATATAAAAAATGAGTATTTATTGTAATAAAGTAAAAGCCTGTTATTTAGAAACATTATCCTGTAGAACACTTTGAAATCTGATACAACTCCATACAGAGTAATGAGGGAATATTTTTATCAAAAAATAATTGTTTTCGGCTAAGACGGTTCTCTGACTTATCAATCAAAATAGAATATCATCAGAGCAAAATATGATAAATTTTGCATTGAAGCATCTGCGACAAATTTTTCTGTTCATAATAATCAATGAACGTGATACACTAACACCTTTTTAGTTTGATAATTTACTGTAGAATTATATTCATTTCAAATGTTTAATATCTACAGAAGTGATCTGTGAGTCACCGGAAACGCCAAAGAATGGTTTCCTGCAAAGCGTCAACAAGGACAAATATCGAGGAGGAGATGTTCTGCAATATGCATGTGACGCTAACTTCATGATGAATGGCACACCAATTATCATATGCCAAGAAAGCAGCAGATGGTCAGGTCCTGTACCTACATGTAAGAGTAACTTGGTTTTCGTTAATTATATTAGTTTATAAATTTATATAGAAAACTATACATAGCGTTTGTTAAATGATTATTATTATCTTTTACAAAATCCATTTACATTTCTACGTGAAATTTTAACTTGCATGAAATATAAGGAAAACTGTAATATTTGCGTTCGAAAAAAAAGCGCATGAATGTGTTGAGTGGCTTCGCCTTTAACAGGATTAATTTAAGTTTATTAACTTGATAAAAAATTAGTGGAAACAAAAGAAGAATTCTTCAATAGAGTCACCAAAAATGAGATTTAACTTATTAGCTTGTTAACGAACTCAGTTATTTTACAGATCTTACCACAAATTTTTACACTTATTTATGTATCGCCTGAAAAAGAGGCACTGGTTAATAAATATGTAGTATAAATTCTGGATGGTTATAATTAAAGTTATTCTATTTAGATCTACGTAGAGCCAGTTCTGGTAGACCTATTTCGTTGAAACTTGGTATACACATTTATATACGTTATAGGAGAAAAGTAAACTACAATACAAAAGAAAATGTTGAAACTTCAACCACCAGATGTATAGGGGGTGCATGAAGAGCAACACAAAACTTTATTTAATCACAGCATTTATTCAATGTGCATTCCATTTGTATCAATCACGTTCAAAGTGTGTTATAGCGCGAAGGGTTTCTCGATCAATTGCAGCAACATGGCATACATAATTATATTCATTTCAAATGTTTAATATCTGGAAATATTGCTTTCAGTTAGGGCATAGTCCATATGCTGTTCGTAGACACTATCTTTCACGAATCCCCACACACAAACCTCATCGTGGGGATTCAAGTCCGAAGAATGAAGAGGCCAGGCAGTAAGAAAACTTCCCGAAATTAACCGATCATCTTCAGTGCCTTTACATGTCCGGCAATGGGAGGAGGTGCACGATCTTGCATGAAGGCAATAGTCTCTAAACATTCTCATTCTTGTATGGCAGGATTGATTTGCAGCTGAAACAGTTTGCGGTAAAGAATACCTGTGATGGAACATCTTTGAAGGCCTTCAAAGGTGTTCTCATCAAGGTAAGAGACCAAGAATGAAATCACCAGTAAACTCATACCATACAGTAATGTAATGAGGATGCAGAAACCGTTCATGCACAACATTAGGGCTTGCAGTACCCAGAGGCGTAGCTAGGGCTTTCAGCGCCCAGGGACAACTGAAGATCTTGCGCCCCTTTCTATGAGGCAAGAATGAAAACAATTTCATTCTAAAATTTCGTAACATCAATTTGGTGCCCCTGAATGCTGCACCCGGGGACACATGTCCCCCCTTTCCCCACCCTAGCTACGCCACTAGCAGTACCACATATATGACAGTTTTGAGTATTAATTGTTCCATCTATGGTAAAATGCGACTCGTCCAACCACAAAAGACCATTCATTCGTTCTGGCCAAACGAAGGTTATCAAAACCAGTGCATTTATCTGGGGTCTGCGGGAGCTGCTTTTACAGAACTTGAATCTTGTATGGATCGCCAAACCTTTCGTACTGTTGACCAAGAGAGAGACAAATCATGTGAGACCATTCGAGCACTTGTCAAAGAACACTTGGAAACGAACGCTCTTTCGACCAGGGGAAGAACGACTTGTTCCATAATTTAATTTGAAATCCGTTTCAGCCCTCTGCCTCGCAGGACATTCAGCTCCTCAGTCTTAAGATTTCATAATCATCTTTTTCAAACCTTGCCTCGTCATAGTCTCTTTTCGTAAATCTTCCAAACGTCGATATTCTCGCAGTGCAGTTGAAAAATTATTGCCATTTTTATAAAACCACTTGATCAGTAGAGCTCGATCTTTCTTCTCTAAAGGCATACAGAATAATGATTTTACGGCGCATTGACTACTGGCTTTCTAAACCACTCCAACGTTCTTTCTACACTGCATAAAAAGTGACATCTGTCATTCAAAATCTGAATTATTATTTTTATTGCAGTTTTCTTCTCACTTTGGTCCATATAACGTATATATCAAACTTTCAACGAAATAGGTCTACCAGGCTCTATGTAGGTCCAAATAGGGTTACTTTAATTATGTTCACCAGTTATACAGAACCATTTTATTTATTCTTTAGAACAGCCGTAAGTTATTAATGAAATCAGAATCTACATTAATTGCAATGTGCGTGTGTGTATGTCTTATATTGTAGCTGTGTGAAGGATATGGCTCGGTAAATAATTTTCAAAGACATGAATTGTTTGAAATGAAAGACACGAATTCAAAAAATGAACTGACTGACATCTGGGCCAGTGTCGCACAAAAAGATTTTAATTGACTTTATATCTCTAATAAAACTGCGACGACACTCAAAGAGTAAAGCGCAAGTCGCCATTACACTCTCCCTGGTTCGTTTCCCTGGAATGTACACGGAGAAATACACGTTTTAGCCTTCTCATTAAATTTGCGATAATACCAGCAATAGGAGCGATTCGAAGCAGCTTTAGCTGAGGGGCTTCGCTTCTTGTTATTGCAGGTTTTGAAAACACTGCGTGATCGTCGTAGAGACAATACCTCACCACGTAATTTGCAGACCATCTCCAGTAGGGAATCTAATTTAGAATTATTAGATACACTGTCAGATACAGGTGAAGAAACTGCGCTTGCCTGAAAGAGTGTAACTTCCAGTATTTGATGGGCAATACTGTCAGCAATTCGAAGAATCTAGTGGCTCAACCGCCGCGAGGATAGATTGAACATTTCACTCAGGGGCCGTTCCTAGCGGGGGTGTAGCGCGTACAAGTACGCGGGTGGCCATATTCAGAGGCGGCCGGACACTCGCGATACCACGTCTAAATATTTTAAATTCATTGTAAGTAGTTGTACTTTTTTATACAATTTGTTATATCAATCAATTTTTATTGCAGATTTTCATATAGCCAGCTGATCTTTGCGCCATACTGTGCAAAAAATGCAACTGTTACAACCACCGATCACGTTTGGAGACGTTAGCAGAAAGGAAATATCACGTTAGCAGAAAGGAAATATGTAGTGTCTTAATACAACCAAAGTATGGAAACGGACATCAGAATGCAGAAATACGCCATAGAATACACACAGTTTGCGACTGGCCATTATATTTGGAGTTCGGAATACTTTCTTATCAATACAGAAATTGTAGCGTCAACTGACTTAAAGTGCCATCTGTCATTCAAAATCTGAATTGTTTAATTGTGTTTAATTGAACTAAGTTTGTCATCTGTTGCCTAAACGAGTCTTAAGAATGAGCCATTATCACCATTACTTAGAATAGTAATGATACATTCTGCATACATGCAGCAGAAATGCATGGGATGTAGAATGAAGTATTCATAAATGAACCTCATTTTTGTCTCACCATGTGAAAGCCTGGGAACAATGTAACCATCAGCCGGTTTCCTCTTTATTTTGGAGCGATACACAGCCCGTCAACGTGCAGTCATGTTTTGCGGTGTTATCATAGCCAACAGCCGATAATCTCTAGAATACATTACAAGTATGTTGATGAGATTGGATACCTTTCAGTATCATATCTGAATAGCTTTCAGCACTCTCATATCTGGATACCTGTTGAGAAACAGTATCCCAGATGCACGTTTTCAGCTGGATATCGTCCGGCCACATACAGTTCAGTGCTTTGCAAACCTAAGATGTTTTGTTAGGTGTACAGATTCTTCCTTGGCCATCCTGATTCCACTATCAATCCCCAATTGAAAATCTGTAGGACACGATTGGACTTCAATTGAATACCGTCCTAAGCCCATGCAATGAAAATGAAATTAGTGACTAGGATGAATATCACTTAGCCTACGATATCCCAGGACATTATTCGGGCATTAATCGAATCGATTTTAAATCAAGTTTAGAAATATAAATTTAGGTCCCTTTTTTTATTTTGTTTATTTGGTCCCTGTAGGACTATGGAAAGTACATGTTTTACTGTTTGTAAACGAAAATTAAATCATTTATTCTGCACCATTCTGACTACATATAATTGCAGTTCTGAATATTTTTGCAATCCATTATGTGTAGCATTTTCTACGTCAAGCAGTGTATTTAGACGTTACGTTTAAATCAGTACTAATGTAATGCTTATAATTATTTATCAAATACCATTCTATTATTAAATATTGTTACGAATTTTGTACTTAGATAGGTAATTTTAGTAGTTATATAAGTAAAATTGTTGTATTTTTCTGTGTAATATAGCTCGAGACAAATGTTACTTATAATTCTTCTAAAAATTACCCAAGTACAAAATTCGTAACATTATATTTCCGATTTTTTCCCTTAGGCATTTATATTTTCTAGTTGCAGTACACAGTGGTTATGAAATAAAGCAAAGTATAGCAGTTTAAATTTCCTTTTTAAACGCAGAATCGTAATATCGAGTTTGGTTTTAAATGTAATATTTTGTTAATAGGGCCCAAAAACGACTTATTTTTGCCCTTAATGGATATTGATTTACATTTTAATTAACGAGTAACTGCACTGTTAATGATCTAAAAAAAGATCTAACAATAAATATTAACAACTCTGAACAACTCTAAAATTCTTTGTCATTACAAAAATACTAATTATCAGTTTTATGAATTTCTGTTTTTTAATTAATTTTCTGCATCACTTTTTTTTCAGGTGTAGCAGCTTGTCAGTACCCTGGAACAACACAGGGTGCCACAATTTCCAACGTTCAGTTTTTTTACAGTATTAATGAGACGGTGACATTTAATTGTCCTGAAGGATTTGAATTGAGAGGAGCAAAAATGCTTAGATGTCTTGAAGATGGCAGATGGTCAAGTGAAACACCCAGCTGTCACTCTACAAGGAAAGGTTAAATACAAAGAAAACAAGGAACTTGGTCTTCCATGACATCATTTTTAGACAAAACAAAACAAGGTGCTTTAGTTCCTCAACATGTGGTACTAGCAAGTTGAGTGAATTAGTATAAGAACCTACTATATAAATGAAAGAGGCTGAATGCACCAGATATTTTAGCGAAATAACAATAAAAAATATTTAAGAGAAAAAAAAAAGAAAATACATCAAGGTGCCTCTTATAAAAAATATAATTGAAATGAATGAAAATAAAAGAAATCAAAGAAATTTCACTCAATAAGTAGAACAGGTACTGTTCTGGTGATTCTGAAAAAAAAAGAAAACCTTATTTCGTTAAATAGTAAATCAGAAACAAAAAACCAAATTAATAAACTATTTCAGCTTCGTAAGGATTTTCAACACCCAACTATCAAATTTTACAGCATTTGGAGAGAAATTTAAAAAATTCAGGGAATATTAATAGGTAGAAATGCTAAAGCGCAATAAAAGTATGTTAATGTTCTTTTAATCATAACATCTACTCCATCTTTGTTTCCAAGACAGCTTTAAAGAAGGTACGACTGCTGGTACCATATGTTTCCCATACCTTTGATTAAAATACATCTCAGTAGTTTCAGGCATGTAAAATTTAGTTCATAAAACTTTGCTGTTGAAATACTGGAAAGTATATCAACAAATAGCGACAAATGTGTTCATCTCTAGTTTCAAAGTCAATATGTTGAAGGACTCACTATAATGGGATCAATATTTGCTGCATTAAAGTTGGAAATCATTGCTGAATGTAAATTATTTTCGATTAGAAAGGAACAAATGTTAGAATGGAATGGATATTTTCATCAACTGTCGCCGTGATGTTTGGCTACTACTTTAACAAAACAAACATGTGGTGTAGTACCCACATACAAGCAACTACTTTGTGCCTAAGACTTTCAAATCGAATTCAATGTTTCAATGGAATTCTAAAATTTCTGCAGTTTTAGTCACTTAAATGTTCATAAATAGAACGAGAGAAAGACGTTTACTTACGTGTTTTAAAGGCGATTTTACTGCATTTATGTTTAGAGACAAGATAGTAGTTTTAATAGCTGAGAAAAATGTATTTTCTTGTATATTGTTAAGTAAACCTTTAGTGAGAATATTTCGTACTGTATGTTTTGCTACTGAGTATTATTTCACCATTCACTTTAATTCTTAATAAGAAAAGTATATTTTTTTTTAATTTGGCCAAACTAAAGGCCAAAATATTAATTATTTGAATCATACATTATCTGCATCAAATGTAATTTAGTTATATGCAATCACAAGTACTGCACCACAGATATATGTAATAAAAATATAATTTACAGTAATTGTAATGTTAATATAAGTTACAGTACTTCTATATATATTACATTGTTTATACATACCATATTTACTTAAGTATTTTCCCCTCTCTTTCTATAAATTTTATTGCTTAAAAACAGAGGGGGAAGAATACGCGGTGTATTTTATTTCTGAAGGAACAAGTTGAATGATAAACATAGCACATCAAAAAGTACACATAAAGACTAACTAAACATTATTAGATTATATATTTCAAAGAACTCGTCAATTTCAATAGTACTTTTTTGCATTTAGACAAAATACTTTCCTACTTGTGCATATACTTTGCATTGTTGCCAAAAATTAGAAGTTTCAAAATCATATGATGAAAAAATATGCAACTAACTACGGCAATTAATCAAAAGTAACAGGAGCCACACTTTTTAAACAAGTGCAGTCATTTTGTTCTCATTCTCTACCGTCAATTTTACGAGTTCTTTGAGTTCTGTAACATAAGAATCAGAGTGGAAGATCACATGTAGATTTAAAATAAAGTATTTGTGAGAGGATTTAAGAAAGAATAATCCTCTTTTTCAAAAGAGGATAATTACATAAATGAACTTAAAGCATCGCCTTTAAACACAGCAAAACTCTCTACAATGTTTTAGAAGTTTTTGTTGAGGAACTTTCAAAAACATATGGGAAATTTCTTGTAATCAGGCACTAATTACAAATTATAACAGTCTAGTTTTCTGTTTTCATGCTTTTAATGCTAATCTTCAGAAAGATTATTATGTTACTGAATCTTCCTATTTCATCCTAGTACCTTTTTTTTTTTCAGGGAGGGGGTGATAATATACTTATGTTTACTTCTTCAGGTGAGTTTTCGCAGGAAGAGCGACAAATCTATATCAATCATATCCTTTAGCATTGAATTTATTGTTGTTTCTTCTTCGACTCAGTACCTTCACATCTGAGTGACTCTGAATTTAACAAAAGTTTAACTTTTCATGGATATTTTTATCATTTCTTTCAATGAAAAAAATACTTTAGATCTTTCCCTTAAACTCTTGAATGGCCACGAGGACATTTTGGCTATTGTAGTACTTGGTTTTTGGTTTATTTTGATTACCGCAAAGCACACGAGGGCTATCTGCCCAAGGGAAAGGATGCCTTCGTGGAAGACCTTTTTAAGGCAACTGGCTCGTATGAAGTTACACATGGGGAAAACCCTGAAAACGTTCACGCAACCAGCTCGTTGGTTGAATGGCACTCAGATCAAACTGCCAGTGTTTAACGACTTTAACGCTTGGCCGCTAGTGAACCTTATTGAAATACAGCCTTCTACACTCAAGAGCCAAAACATTATGACCACCTGTCAATAACGAGTTGGGCCACTTTGGCTTGCAACACAGCTTCAACCCGCCTTGGTATGGATGTCACAAGTCCTTGATAGATGGCCGGAGACAGATTGTACCAGATGTTGTAGCAACGGTCACGCAAATCCGAGATATTGCGAATTGGTGGTCTTTGACCTCTGAGCTGCCGTCCCATGACATCCCAAATGTGTTCTATCGGATTGAGATCCGGTGAGTTAGGCGGCCAGGACATTAACTGGAAATCAGCATCATGTTCCTGGAACCACTCCAACACAATTGTAGCCTTGTGACACGGGGCGTTGTCCTGTTGGAACATTCCATTTCCAGCTGGAAAAACAGAGGCCATGTAAGGGTGCAACTGGTCCGCAATGATGTTCAGATACCCTGTAGCATTCATGGTCTGCTCTACCACAACCACGGGTCCCAGAGACGCCCAAGAGAACGTCCCCCAGAGCATAATACCGCCACCACCGGCCTGTGTATGACCTACTGTGCATTGAGGGAGCAACTGTTCGCCTGGAAGACGGCGTATCCTGACACGGCCATCGGCGTGATGAATGACAAACCGTGATTCATCTGACCAGGCAACTCTCTCCCACTGATCCATGGACCAGTCGCGATGTTCCCGGGCCCAGCGCAGGCGCAGTTGGCGATGACGCTTGGTCAGCAAAGGCACACGAGTGGGACGTTTGCTGCGTAGCCCCATATCCAACAGTGTCCGCTGAACAGTGTGCTCCGATACTTTTCTACTTGGCCCTGCATTGTATTCGGCTGTCAGCTGAGCCACTGTCTGGCTCCGGTTTTGCTTCACCATGCGAGACAGTCTCCGACGACCTTTTTCTTTGATAGCGTGTGGACGTCCAACACCATGTCGTCTACTGCTGGTTTCACCGTCATTCATCCACTTTTCATACGTACTAACAACTGTAGATCGCGAACAACCCACGAGTCGTGCAGTTTCGGAAATACTTGTTCCGAGCCTTCGAGTCATTACAATCTGCCCTCTATCAAAGTCGCTTAGATCCGCAGCCTTTCCCAACACACACAGAAGTAAGTGAAAGAATGATTCTTCAGACTCTCCAGCAGCAGTTAAATACCACTTCCACCTGATCACGTGCTTCCACGTCATCCAGGCCCGTTCATCGCAAAATGTAGGGCTGGTCTTAAAGTTTTGGCTCTTGAGTGCATAAAGCAGTACCTTCACAACGCATTTTCGTTCCAACATAGTTGGAAAAACGCAGAAATATTCTTACAGTGTGGAACTTTTACAACTCAGTTTAGAAATGTGTGGCGGCTCCACCCATTCTCCGGTTGTCTAAACCTTTACGATACAGCACGCCAGAGGAGAAAGTAGAAATTAAGCCCTAGAGGGGAATTCTAGAAACTGCGACGGACGGAAGTCCATTCTTGATGTTCCCTGTATAGCTATTCTCGATGTTCCCTTGTGATGGAGTGCATTGTCTTTGCGCGACAGCTATGGCTTGCTTGTTTTCCCCGTATTGTATTCTTCTGCAGATTGAGCGCGAATAAAGTAATTCCCTGTATGAGTACCAAGAATTTAGTTAAAGTGGGCGGAGCATCCATAAATGTGTCATATTCATTGTCACGCTCACTAAACCTCATGGCATCTAACTGAGAACGTATACAACGCTAGAGCGACCTTTTTACAACTTTTCACACTGTCCTTCAAGTTATCCATATGCACCAAACTACTCGCCATTGTTCGATTCCTCCAATTCGCTGCACATTTGGCGAATTCTTGTCATACCCAGCGTATTTAATTGACAATTTTTTTATGTAATGAAACTGACAATTTTTAGTTGAATTTATATATTCGATTAATACGTCGATATAACTTACAGTACGTTTGATTTATGTCAATTGGATTCGCTGATAAAAAAGTAAAAATAAAAATTTAAATTATTGGGTATAAAGTTATAATAAATGAACTTATAATAAACGATAGTTATAAAAGTTCATTTATTGGTTTTAAATCATTCAGCATAACAGCTGCTTTCTTCTTCTCCCAGTCAGTGAATGAATGAGCACTTAATTGCGTTTCTCAGCGACAGTGGTGTGAGGCATATTCATTGGGGAACTTCGGGAATTTTTTCAATCGGCCGTGTGTGAAGTCGGGTTGCTGGAGTCTGCAGTTTTGCCAAATATGCCGAAAAAGTAGATAGCTATACAGGGTGTATCAGTACAGCGTTGACAAACTTTCAGGAGAGATAAAGTAGACTTAGGCAATGGGAAATCACAAAGCAATGCATGGTCGGAAAAGCTTCCGTAGCGTGGTAGTGAAGACTCTAAAATCAATAAAGAAAGGACACGAACGGGGTGAGAAAATGTGTTTATTATTCAAAGTACAACAAAAGCAAAGAAAAAAACTGCATAAAGAGACAACGATCGTCATCAAAGAAGGTGTTCGAAATTACGACCCGGACCGTAATGCAAGAACCGTGCATCATGCATCTTCCATGCGACCTTCCATTCGTGATGCAGATCTTCCATGCCCCGGAGAAATTAGGCCTGCATCACGATCCGGGGTCGTAATTTCAAATACATTCTTTAATGACGATCAATGTTTGTTTTTGCTCTTAATTGTTGGCTTCTACTGTACTAAACATAATTAAACACGTTTTGTCTAACTGTTTGTGTCCTCCCTTTTTGCGTTTTGTGTCGTCACTACCGCGCCAAAAAAGTGTGTCCGACCACGCATTGCTATGTGATTTCCCATCGTCTAAATGTACTCTATCTCTCCTGAAAGTTTGTCACCGTTGTACTGATACACCCTGTATATTGGTCATCGAATGATTGGCATAATATTAATACATTTTAAAATACTACGTAATCTATCGTTTCATATATATATATATATATATATATATATATATATTTCAGTTTTCTTTGCTCAACAGTGTTTACATTTCATATTGTAATTTTTTCAATACGACTTTTCGGAATGGTAGAACTATATTTTACAGTGGACGCATACACTTTCTACTATATATGTTCTCAGCTTAGGTTGACCGCTAGTATAGTGCACATTAGCATCATAAAAGCTCAGTGACATAGAACACAGTCAAAGAAAAGTTTTTCTCATTTCCTTTGTCAAGCTTTTATATTTTGTTTTTGGGGTTCTCCATTTCGATGCAGAAAAGCAGACGAAAACGCTTTTAATTGATTTGCTTACTTTAGTACGGAGACAGCTATGAACAAGAACTTTATGTTTTTAACAACGTAATAAAGGTAAGTAAATTTTTGCGATTTTTACTGCCCACAAAACTAATTTAAAAAAATTTGGCCATAGCATTGCCGAATGAAAAGAAATTACTGTCGTTGAAAAGGCAATTTATACCTCTTTAAACAAAGATAGAAATTTTGGATCGAATTAAAAATCAAAAGCGGATAGCTGATATTGGTAAGCATTTTAATTAAAATGAGTCAACTATTCGGTCGATTAAAGAAT